TTTTTATTTTTAATTGTCTCACTAGTCACCAAAGGTATTCACAGAAAATATAACCAATTTATTAAATTGCTTTCAGAGAGCACTTTCTTGATAAAGGAAAATACTCTTTAAAAAAAAAAAAAAAAAAAAAAAGGACAGACTATACTAGGTGTACAATCCAAACCTCTTTGAAATGAAAGAGCCTTAAAGATCTTTCAGTAATTTCTGAAAATTTTACAAAAGGAACATTTTTTTTTTTATCAGAGCAGTCTGCTCTCTAACACATTCCAGCTATCTAGTTAGGTAAGCCAGTGCAATCAGGGAGAACACAGAGGAACAAGCTCAACAATAACAACAACAACAAAAATACCCCAATAAATGGCCTCCTGTCAGCTAATTCAGACTTTGAAATATGAAAATGTTAATGTGATAAAACTGCTGATGAAATACTCTGCAGCCATTTGTCCGAAGTAGGAAGATGGCACTGATGTTTTTACATAAGCGGACCAACCATGCTTGTTACTATAGGATTTCTATATCTATTATTTAGAAGGACAGGGAAATAGTAGTTCTGTACTACTGAACAGTAATACAATGCACACATTGTACAATGGATAAATCAGCTAACAAAAAGGAGATTTATTTCATGAACTCTCTCGTCAATGTATAACATCCTCAAGGAGAAAGATTGAACAAGGAATCCTACAAACTTGACAGGACTGACAGCATACTGTTGCCCCTTGGGACAAGCCTTTAATTCCTGTCCTTGCCCTTCACCTTTCTCTGTGATGCTATCTTCCTTGTCCTATTTCCTTGTCCTTTCTTTTAGCATTCTTTCTTGCCCCAAGCTTCAGGAGGGAAGAAATGATTACAGGGGGAAAAAAAAAACTATACAAAATTTAAAATTTCTCTAATTTTTTACACTCAAAATATACTCAAGTGTTCATAATTATCTCTTCTTCCCCCTCTTCACACAGAGAGACAGAATGGGAGAGAGAGAAAGAGAGAGAGAGAGAGGCCTAACAAGAATTATTTCTAGGACTGAATGTCCTAGAAGGCAGATATAGCTCTATGGTTTGTTTGTTTTTGTAACTGTATGTGATCCTTACTTCAGAGTTATGACTGACATATATATTTTAAAAACAATTAATTAATAAACAAAGTTTTCTAAAACAAATTGAAACTTAGACTTTTGGGGAGGCAATAAAGAGGATTGTGGATAATAAGAATTATAAAGACATTCTGGAAATTTTACATAGAGACTATACCTATTGTGATCCAGAGCCACCCAGGATAGTTCAGATATAAAGAATAGAAAGAACATTTAGCCAGAACGTTCCTTTAACAGCATGCATGTGACATCCACTAATGTTGACAGGAGCTGTGAATACACATCTAAAGAAAGAATTTGACTTACAATAACTAAAGCTACAATGAATAAAAATAATATTTTTGTAGAATTACTAAATTACATAGATGACAACTGTTACATGAGGTGCCTGCTTCCCAAGTAAAACTCATAATGAATAGCAAAGTGCATTTGGGTGTGTCTGGCATGTTAACCAAGTCAAGGCAAAAACTGCACCTCTACACAAGGATACTGTATTCTAAATAATCAGAACGAAGACTCTTCTTTAGAACCTGGAAAAAAAGCTGCAATTGAAGGATTACAGTATACTCCAAAATGGCAAGTGAGAAATAACAGGAAAAAAATTTTGCATTAAAAAATCAAGTGTACAGTGAGTGTACACAATTTCTTGCTATTCATATCAGTGAATAGGGAGATCACATAGAAAATTTACAATGGTGAATACTGAAAAACACACCAATATTTGGTTTTATGTGTCTGGAACTACATTTGAATAGGAGTAAAATCTCACACAAGTTTGTGAATCCACTCTGAAGAATCTGACATTTTTTCTTGTAGTAATCAAGTTTGGAAAGTCACCCAGCTTCCAAATTTTGCTTTTGCTTTTTCCAAACCATTTGGAAAGTTATTACTCAGATTGATACAAAGTAGTCTTTGAAAGTCAACTATCCAAACTTGCTTCTTTGCCAATTTCCTCAGAGCAAAAGACTAAATGCTTTATCCAAAAGGCACTTCCTTCCAGGTTTCTCTCTGTCTGGCTAGAATTGGGGAAAAAATTTATTTATTTAAGTTATCATAGTACTTAATTATACAGAGAGAAGAAAATAAATAAGGTTTTGAAAAAGATACTTTCTTGTCCACAAATCAAATGAAAAATAAAAAATAGCATAAAATCAAAATCAGGCAGACTGATACAAAGTTACAGTTCAAAAAACCATAGATTTATATAACCTATACACTTCATTTTATGGGTGAAGAAATTAAAGACCAGTGGGTTGAAGTATAAACTTCAGTTGTGGTCCATGGACCAGTAGCTGACAGGTAGTTAGAAATGCAGAATTTCAGTCCTCATCCCAAACCCACAAAATCATAATCTGCATTTTAACAAAACTTCCATCCCAGATCATATGCATGCACGTTGAAGCTTGGAAAGTACTTATTAAAAATACTTCTCCAAGATATAATTAATCATTTGCCATGTACATGCTACCCAATGATAGTAGTCTTAAACATGCCAGGAGACCCTTTTTTGAAGAAGAAAAAGAAGAGTGTAATTCAAGCATATGCCTCTCTTTCACAGTGAATAAACTATTCCCACAAACTAAATTAATTATTTTTAAATTCTTCATCACTCCTTCAGGACTTTTTTAAGTCCAATTAGTAAATTACTATTTTACTACAAAGAGACACTGCCAGGAAATAATTTTGGCATTGACAGAATCTAGTTTATTTCATGATAAGTTCTAGAAGTTCTTATTTTCATGCATACCCAGAAGCCACTTCCAGTTTCCTAGCCTCTTCTATTTATTTGTCTACTCTAAAACCAGGGATAAATAAGTACAGTATATAATTATTTGATCAATTATTAGTAGACAAGCAATCCATTTCTTCTAAATGTAAATAATGCCTTCATTTTGTAATGTACATATTTTACTATAAAGGAAACATCTTGAGATCAGATTTTGGCTCCTGTTTATTTTGGATAATCAATGTGAAAGGACTCTGAAGGATAAAAATTGCTAAGCAAATAAATGTAATGATAATTACTGGTCACTTGAAAATACGTCATATTTGGAATCCTAAAATACTATACTATTTTAGCAATTTAAAATATCCTAGCTGCCCCAGTCTCATCCTTTTTTTTCACTATCTGTGCTGGTCAAAATTATATCAAATTTTCAATATATTGGCTAGGAAATTTATACTTTAATTTATATCTCTGTATCTCATTTTTCTACCTCTCTCTGGCTTCTCACTAACCATGATACATAAAGGAATGATTGAGTCAATCATTACTATTGATTTATTAGTATTACTATTGATGCCTTATTAATTCTAACTAAATAGTTGACACATAAAAAAAAGTGAAAAGTTTAATATAGAGAAAATTTTAAAAGTTGACTACCTTGTATCATTCATCAGGTTTTTTGCAAACAAATCATTCCTGGTCTTGCTAAGGCATTTCACATGACTTTCCAGCTCTTGATCTTGATAGCCTTTCAGCTTACATGATGCTGCAGTATATTATTATGTCTCTTATCATTTGGACCAGTCTTTCATTCACTGCTCTTCAGTCTCACCTTCTTCCTTCAACTCTCTAAAAGAATATAGATAAATATTCTCCAGTTCTTCTGGTCTTCTATCTTTTTATATTTATCCCTCACAGATCTTATCCTTCTATGTGACCTTGGACAAATGACAACATCTCTGTGCCTCAGTTTCCACATATGCAAAAGAGGGACAATAAGTAATACCTCCACTAGGGCTATTAAATGGTTTTAATCAGTTAATACATATAAAGTATTTTGAACAGTACTTGGCACAAACAAATTAATTTTTCCAAGCCTGCATTTCCAATTATTCTGCAGGTTCTTCCAAGTTTCGAACTAACATATCCAGTTTTTATTGAACACAAACCCATATGATGTGCTGCTGGTTTCCTCTTTATTCAACTATGGAAAGCCAGACTATGACTTTCCAAAATTTGAAAATTGTTGAGTTGAAGGCAAGAAGAAGTAGATGTAGGAAAGTAATCTGCCCTCACTCTATTTGCCTAGAAGCAGAAGACAGATTTAGAAAAACAAAAGTTATCCTATCTCCCTATCTACCAGGTAAAACAAAGATTAACCACTGAAGACATCTTTGTATGCTTATGAGCTTGGTAATGGTAAGAGAGAAATCTACATTAACAAGCTTTACTAACTTTCATCTCATCCTTATTTGCCTTCTCTCAAGTTTCTGCCTGTGGAGACTCAAAGTCCTTACTTCTCTAAAAATTTACTCTTCTTTGTTGAAGATGCTATACAAGCTGGAATTCAAAGTCATCTTTGAGATTCATTCTTTCTCTGAGTGTCTCCATGTATATAAGAAATATGCACATTAATACACTTCTTGTTTTTCTCTTGTCTTTTGTAACAGAACAGGGGTTCGTTTCAACTAAGAACCTATTGAGCCGGGTTCGGTGACTCAGCCTGTAATCCCACGCCTTTGGGAGGCTGAGGTGAGCGGATTGCCTGAGCCCACGGGTTCGAGACCCGCCTGGGCAGGCGAGACCTCATCTCTACAATAAATCAAAAAAATTAGCCGGGTGTGGTAGTGTCCGCCTGTAATTCCGGCTACCCGGAAGGCTGAGTCGGAAGAATCGCCGGAGCCCAGCAGGTCGTGGCTGCGGTGGCCGGGAGCGGCCACTACACTCCAGTCTGGGAGACAGTGAGACTCCAACTCAAAAAAAAAAAAAAGAAAAAAGAACCTATTGAGGTTCTTATTTTTGCCCTGCACTAAATGAATATGAATCCTTAGCCTGTCTCCCCAATCCCGCACCTCATCCCAAAGTTTTCCATCTCTATTAATGGTACTATTATCAGCCAACTTCTACACTTTATACCCTTCTAAGTTCTGTAAATTCTTCCAAATTGTGTCTTTCATTTCTTACCTCTTTTTGGAGCCCATTGTTTTACACTAGTTCAGATCCTTTTCTTCTCGCTACTGGGTGACTACAACAATCCCCTAACAAAGTTTTCTTTCTTCAGCTTCTCTCACCCTACTCCAAATTCATTATGCTAATCACTACCAAATTAATCTCCTGAAGAATAGTTTCAGTAAATAATTATTATAATCAAAAATAATTATAAAGAAACTCTGCCTTCTGGCCCCCAAACCTTCCAAAATTTGACCTCGAGTTTTATAATCTTAACTCCTATGAATTTGTAAATTTGTGGTCATTAATTTTGTAATTAATTATGTTTTAGTTTGTAAATCTTGTTATTCACATTGTATGGGCTCATATCTCAACTGTCCCTATAAAATTATAGTTTCTTGTTGAATATTATGGAATATTATACATTCTTTTCCTTTAGTAATCTACCTATGTTGTGCATAATAAAGTTAAACTACTTTATTTTACATTGTACCTGTGTGTTGATGGATTGAAGTGGATTTGCTTTCCCAAGTAATCAAATTAATTAGTAACTGTACTTCTACCTTTGACCTTGTAAAAAAGATTATCTTACATAAAAAAGTGTATATTGTGGTAAAGCATAATTAATCATATGGTCACTAACATTTGTGTTAATATTTATATAAGTAAAGATACTAGATCATTTTAAAGTCCATTTTCAAGGGGCTTTCTTTTATTGGTGGTGAGAAACTGACTCTTGCTCTTCTTCACTTCAAATACTTCAGCCTTATGGTTAGGTTTGTATCTACAGCTGACTGAGTTTATTTTATACTCGAAATGAGTGCTTCTCAACCTGAACAGTTTGCATTGTCTGGAGATATTCTTGGCTATCATAACTTGGTGGGAGGTGAGTGTAACTGGCATCTAGTGGAGTAGATGCCAAGAATGCTTCTAACTGTACTACCCTGCCTAGGACAGCTCCCCACAACAAAGAATTATCCAGTCCAAAAAGTAAATAGTGCCGAGTTTGAGAAACCCCTGTCTAGACTCATTCTCAAAACTTTGTAGGTCCTTTTTCCTCCTCAAGCTCAGTTATTTGCCTTTTATCTGCTGGTTTGGCCATGCTGCAGTTATTTAGATAAATCTCATCTTTAGGTAATAGGAATTCAGTGCTAGCTTGATGCCCTGATAACTGAGTTTTTGTTTCATTCTCAAAATGTAGGCTTTACATTTTGTCCCATAGTCTTGAGTTACTCAAAGTTTATGAGCTTATGTTACTCTTTCTTCTTGTCTTCCCAGGTCTTGTTGCTTAATATCTCAAGATTGTTCTCTGTATTAGCTATCAGACTTGCATTACTATTGCTCTTTTAGATTTCCCAGTTTTCTTCTACACCTGTCTGTAGGGTTACCTGCTTATCCCTGGAGTTGACACTGTCATTATACTGAAAAACCCATTCAAAGTAAGCATTCATCATAAAAATCCTGTCAGCTTAGAAATAGTTCTATGATATAAATACTGTGGTAACACAGAGTGTTACAAATTCTCTTTAGCCTATAACTATAATAAATTTGATGAGAATAATTATGATATCTTTATTAATACCTCAGTTTCTTTCTTAAATGATTCAGAAAAAAAAATAGCACTTAGAAAAATGTTTATTGACTTTCATTCACTATCTGACATTTTCCAGATCAGCATTTCAGTTTTAAAAAATAATGACAAATAATTACTTTGGTATTTCAATTCAGTTGTAACTAAAGAATAATTTTAGAAAGTAGAAATGGCAAGCATAAGTTTTAAAAAAATGAAGCAAGGTATAATAAATAAACCAAATCCCTAAAAATTCATTAACAAAAAGAGCTACAAAATTTTCAAGATCTCAAAAGGTTATATTCATATTTTCTTTGAATTCAAGCACCTATACTTTTGTTTGAAAATCACAAATAGCTTGTTTAAAGCAGTTTACTATTTTAGCTGTTGTGACTGCCCCACAGTGGCATATCTAAATATAAAAAAGACTTCAGAATTTTTTATTTTCTTTTCATAAAGACAAAGTGGAATCATTATCATTTTCTTTACCATGTCACATTAATAATCAATGTTTATAGGCCAAATCAAAATAATCCCAAAATCACATTTCTTTAGAGAGTTCTTATTAAAGAGATAAAGCCTCTTTTCTTAAATGTTACATTTTCTATTTCTAAACAGTAGTTTCAATAAAATTAAGTGAAGACTCATGAAGTGGATAAATGAGACTGATTGAGAGAACAAGCCAGTCATTGAACCCTAGGAATAAGAAGTGATGTCTACACAGGAATTCAGAAATGGTAAAAGTTTCAGGGCAAGCACTTTACATGCCTGAGTGTATAAATGTGTTATTTTAAACACTATCATAGTCCATTCAATATGAGCGTAATATTTTGTGTATCTTCACTCCTATTTTAAGATGTACTATAATTGAAATATAGTGACGAGTGATCACTATATTATAAGACTACTTTTGCCTTTTTTATAATAGAATGCAACTTCATCTAATCATAGCATATTTGATACTTTCATTTTCATCAATTTTATTAAAGATTACAGTCTCAAGTGACAGTTATTTTTTTTCTTCAGAGTACATTAAGTCATAAAAGTTTGCAGGCTACTTCTCAACCTGTGCTCTACTAAAATATAAAAAACAAATACACTGGAACTTTTAAAATACATTATAATTTAAACGTGATACTAGCCACTGGGCTTCACCTTTCAAGATTTCCTATCTTGAGTGTCATATTCTCAGGAAATTTCAAAGCTCCAAATCTGACAAAATATAAATACAATAAAGTTTATTAAGAAAGGAAAGAAATTTTCTTTATAAGATTTAGTAAATTGCTACTTCTTTGTTATTTTGTTTGGTTTGCCTTTTGTTTTGTATCAAAACTGATGCTAAGAATTAATGGGAACTTTCCAATTAATAGAACTATCTGGAACTCTTGTCTAATTTTCTTCTTATATGTTGAGCTACTGTGTTGCTTTAATTGTGAAAACTAGAAAGCCTAGCCTGTAAATGAACAAAAAGAAGCAAAAATACAAAGTATGTTATTTTACAATTGCTTAAGGCCATAATAGAAAGATAAAGTTGTATTTTTATAAAAACGGTAAACATTTTAGCAACATCCTTTCAGTCTTGTTTCTGGGTTTTTGGTGCTGCTGTGTGTTGTTTAAAAAGCATCTGTGTGATGTGTCACAAATTCTACCCTCACTTATTTCAGAGATTGTTTAGTTACAAGGTTTAGTTTTTTAGTTGACAAGGTTAGGTATCAAACCTTACTCCCTCTGGTTTCTCCAAACACATTGCATGGTCCAACTGAAACCTTATTGAATTACTGCTTCTTTTCAATAAGCAGGATGTTAGTCCTTAATGACCTTCACAATTAAAAAAAATCTTACCTAAAGCTCTGTTTATGGAAGAATTAGCCTCATTAACGGGCTTGCCACAAAGTCACCCTTAATGATGTCCTGTGGAAGAGACTAAAGGTGAAAAGGGAAGTGAAATTGAAAGAGTAAAAAGGCATGAGAACAAACAACTCTCTCCTTTTGATTGAGTTTTTCAGGTCAGAAGCTACAATGACAGTTGTCGTCACTGTCCCTGAAAGCAATGGTACTTAGACTACGAACAAAAAAGAATAACATGATACTGGTTACCCCTAAGATTTCTGTCTACTTTTCTGAAGCATTTGGTCATAAAGCCACAGAGGGAGCTGCTACTAGGTAATAAGGCCTCTTTATATTTTTGTAATGGCACCCATATTAGTTTTCTATTGTTATCATAATAAATTGTCACAAACTTGGAGGCTTGAAACAAAACCTATTTGTCATCTCATAGTTTTATAAGTCAGAAGTCCAGTGGACTAAGTTGGGTTCTCTGGTTGGGGTATCACAAGGTTAAAATCAAGGTGCTGGTAAGACTGTTTTTCATTACTGTATATTTTGGCTAAGAGCCTGCTTTCAAGCTCATTCGGGTTGTTGGCAGAATCCAGTTCTTATACTTGTAAGCCTTTCTGACTGTCAGCTGGTAGCTGCTTTCAGTTATCAATGGTTACCTGCATTTCTTCTCACGTGGCCCCATTTATCATCAAAGCTAATAAAAACATATGGAATCCTCCTTGTTCTTCAGATTTCTTTCTGCTTCTTCTGTGACTAGCAGGAAATTATTATTTTCTTTTAATGTGCTTTTAATAGATCTGGTAGAATTTTAGAAAAACAATTGTTTAAATTAGCACAGTCCTTGTGGCTGAATTGTCTGGAATCTAAAACGAACTTTATTTACCTTTCAAGAGTGTTTTGCTTCTAGAATGTCTATCCTGTTATATTGGTCTGTATGCCTGTTCTTGCACCAGTACCAGGCTGTTTTGATATTACAGTCTTATAATAAAGTTTAAAGTCTGGAAGTGTGATACCTCCTGCTTTGTTTCTATTGCTGAGGATTGTTTTGGTTATTCGTGGTCATTTATGTTTCCATATGAATTTTTGTATTGTCGTTTCTAGATCTGAGAAGAATGTTGTTGATAACTTAATGGGTATTGTGTTGAATCTGTAGATTGCCTTGGGTAGGATGAGCATCTTAACATTGTTTATTCTTCCCATCTATGAACATGGTATATTTTTCCATTTGTTTGTGGCTTCTTTGCTTTCTCTGAGTAGTGTTTTGTAGTTTTTGTTGTGAAGACCTTTCACTTCTCTGGATAGGAAGATGCCAAGGTGTTTCATTTTCTTTGTGGGTGGCTATTGGGAATGGGATTCTGCTTTTTATTTGGTTCTTTTCCTGTTTGTTGTATAAAAATGTGACTGTCTTTTGCACATTGATTCTGTTCCCTGAGACTTGACCAAAGTCCTTTATCAGTGCAAGGAGGTTTTTGCCCTTGGGTTTTCAAGGTATAGGATCATATCAGCAAAGAGGGATAGTTTAACTTCCTCTTTTCCTATTTGGATACTCATCTTTTTCCTCCCTTGTCTGATTGCTCTAGCTACGACTTCTAACACTATGTTGAACAGGAGGGGTGAAAGTGG